AGTTATAGGATTAACTAACTGCTCAACAGTATTCGCATCTGCAAACTAGTTCTACTTGTCACATCTGCTTGGCAGCCCAACATCAAAGCAAAGCGGGAACGCTTTCCCCTGCTTGGGCACCAAATTCTCCTCCTGCAGCCAGACCTCGCGGCTGCAGTAGAGCGCGATGGGTCAGCTGCGGTGCTGGAGCAGCGTGCCCTGCCCCACCGCCTACGGAGGTGTCACTGCACTGAATTCAGTGCAGAAACAGCTTAGGTAAGGGGTGAGAATGGCTGCAAATAATTTTTCAAGAGTTTAGACAGCAATAGGAGCTTTACACATAGCAAAAGCCAAACACGCATAACCAATCTATAAACCTTCCAAAAACGTTGGAGACCTTGTTCCTTTTTCCTGTATTTTGGCCATGTGCTCCTCCGGTACCCTTCGATCACAAGAAATGCACCTGAGAAACAGCTTTTTGAGAGAACGGATCAATAGAAGCATTACGTGTTGCTCTTGAATTCCAAATGAAGTGATGTGTTCCTACTTGGGATGCCTAGAGAAAGATTAATAATGCACACACCTCTGTTGCTGTCACGTTATTTGTCCAAGACCAGTTTCCCTGCTCCCCCCCGCAACCAACAGTAAGTGTAAGATGGCAGCCTAATGTTTGCAGCTCTCTGAGAACAAGTAATAGGAAAGGTAGCACCCAGCTGAAACCACCGTATTCTTTCTATTCATAGGTTAAAATAAAGCAGTTTTGCAATAGCTGACTCAGCCTGGATTTGAATCCAGGATCTAAAGGCAAATTAAATTTCACCATCCATGTTAAGAAAGCAATTCAGCTTCTGAACTGGATCAGCTTTGAAGCCGCACTAAAGAATTTAGTTGAAATATGGTATGATGAAAGACTCCTTTTCAGCAGCAGATATAATTATCACACTGATCTTAATTAGATCATGAACTTGACTTTAGGATTCCCAAAGGAGTACTGAAAGCTTGGTCCAGTTACACTGAACTTGGTCCAGAACACTGAAGCTTATCCATCAAGATAAATATATTACTAGTTCTTTGATATGACAGATGCTTGATGAGTGACAGAGCAAATGCCTTTTTAACTATGATTTTTAAAAAGAATTCTTAAACTGCACTAAAGTGTATGCTGTTATCTTTGAGGAAAAAAGTATAATACATGAAAAGATTATTACAGAGCACATAGAGCACAGTTTTTCAAGCACTGGTTTCAGAATTAAAAACATTTGAACACAGGTTCTCTCTGTGGAGAGTCACTTTGTAACCAATTCAAGCCTTTAAATAGCTATTGTTTTAAAAAATTGTCAGCTACAGAAATTGTTTTTCCTTCAGATTCCAAATCCTGTCAGGCCAGGTTGATTAAAACGTTGCATTTAAAAAAAAACGGGGGGGGGGGGGGCGCGCGGGGAAGGCAATCTAATCACCCCTTATAAAAGTGAAAACAGCAACTCAATTTTTAAAGCATTGTGAACAAAAGGCCCATCTATCATTCACATATGGATTCATGTAATGATTCTTCAATTAGAATTATTATCTATACAGCAGCTGAAGACTGAGAACTGCTGATACACTGCAGATGAGAACATTTGCTAGTCTCTGGGCTCCAGCCTTTCTTAAAAAATGATGATCGCACAATATAGATTGCTCGGTTTATATGTGTATTAAGCTGCAATGCCAGCATTTACATTTGCAACATTACAATTTTGCTTTCTTAGGCTCAAGAGAATTTGCTGCATCTGGTAGATTTTATTTGCTTTGTATCTTAGGCAATCGTTATGAACAAAGTGTGAAAAGACGGGATTATTGCTCAAGCAGTCCTTTGTTTTGTTCATTATCTCGGATACTACAAAAGAAGTAAACTAAGAGTGGGCCTGTGAGATGGGTCATTCAGTGTCAGTTTGCTTGCACTATATTATCCCAGTGCTATTTTTATAAGGCAAGTCCATCTGCTCCTTCATTCCTTTCACCTATATAGATCCACATAGCATAAGTTGTAATATCAGAGGGAAAGAAAAGCATGTTGCAGAACAGTTAACAGGCACCATAAGGGAGGAAAGTCACTTTGGCGATTCAAACTTCAGCAATCTTAGGGGTCTCTGCCTAACAACATACCCTGCCCCATTGCCAAATGCTACTGTCTTCAGAAGCAGGTATCGACAGAATATATGTTCTGCAGAAGCAGAACGGGAAATGTGCTAGCTCTACAGCCACTGTTTTTCATACCTGCAATGCTCAAACACACCTCAGTTTCAGTATTTATTAATACACTGTATGAACTGTGGCAGCTTCTGAGCAGACAGACAGATCACTTTGCTACGTCTGCTACAGGGCAGTAACTTTTGACAGAGCAGCAGACTAGGTAGCAAGAATGGTAACCTCCTGAATTTCTCTTTCTGAATCCTCAGCTCTTCTGGAATATTTCAAGTGCTTGCCCATTCCTATTTCACAGCTGGTAACCACATGCTGTGACCTAGAAGATGACAGAGATAGGTAGCTACATAAATACTAGCTGTGAGATAGCTGTACTAAACGGGCATGTGTTCTTGGTGCTTCTACGGATTCTTGCTGTCTGAACCCCAAGTACGTTCTGAAGCCCAGGGAGCCTTCCTAGATGTCTCACTAGTAACATGGACGCTGGAGACAGCAAGTTGGCTTTTGCAGATTTTTGAGGTATGCAGAAACCTTTAGTGACGTGCCTACGTAGAGATTAGGAAAAGGACTGCAGTTAATCAAGAAGCTTCTTACTTCACTGTACAATCTTAGAAAAATCTTCATAGAAGGCAAATATTGTTAATATATTTGTTTTACTCTGCATAGTTTGACAAACCTATGCCCATCCTATTACCATCTTTCACAGTACTACTTTTAGTGGGTGAGACGTGCCGTAGCTATGAAAGCTCCCCATATCTCTTATACAAAGGAAATGAAAACTCTGCTAATGGCTGTATGTTCCAATATTATTTCACTACTTTATTATAGCTATTAGTGAATAGAGAATAAGTGATTTATACTCTTCCTTGGAAAATACTTTTTATCTACTGAATCTCCTAAATAACCAATTCTTCTCCATTTACTTGAAAGTATATTGCCATTTGAATTACTTAAAACTTCATTATATTTATAGTGACATTATATAATGTTTCCATCTCTAAAAAAATACTAACTGAAGACATTTAAGGGTCAAAGCAAGCAAACCAAACTGAAAACTGGTACACCAGCTTACCAACCTTAACATAACACAAATATTTAATTCAAGAGTTTATACACATGATGGGGCACATTTCTCAAAGTATTTTACATTTCCTGACTTCAGGTGGCACCACTAAGATTTGCGAAGAGATGTAATGACACACAAATTAAAAACGCAGGTCTTTTTTTTTTTTTTTCAGTTAAAGCCATCATCATAATTTTTTTTTAAAGTAAAAAAAGGTTTAAAAGGTCAAAATCAGAACAAACCACTTAATTCTTTCCCTGGATACTTGTTTATAGAGCTTTGTTGAAATTTTCAGCTTGATTTCAAATGGGAAGTATTTTGAAGACAGGAGAAACACTACCTGAGAAAGCAGTTCAATCGATAGTAGAAGTGAGTGAATTATTTGCAGCAGATAATTTATTATGAGAACATAAAAAGTAGAGGTTTATTCCTCTCAGAGAAGGCAACTGCTGTTTTCTTTATTCAGTTTCAGGATATTATTAATCAAATGCTTATTTTAGCTGCCACCATAACCATACACCTCCCTAAACTCTCGTAACAATAGTTCTAATGTTCGCTTTATGTGACTAGTCACTTAAATCAGTAATTTACACTCATTCAGGCACTGAACAACAACATCAAAAACCAGGAAGAAAGGTATCACTAAGGCCTTGTGGTTTTCACTGGCTGCTCCAATATACTGAATACTGAGGCAGTGAGCTGCAGTGTTTTGGCTCCCAATCTTGCGGATGAGCTTTACTGACTGGAAAAACTGACATATAGCATACTCTCGATAAAAAAACAAAGGGGGGGGCAGGGAGGAAGAGAGAGAGGGAGACAAAGAAAAGAAATTTACATCTCCTTATAGCCACAAGGACTCGGTGGCCAAGTTATATTACATTTCTCCTAGGATGCATTTGTACAGCAAATAACAACTGTGACTGTAGTCAGGGGAGCCATACCTTCACAAGCTTTAATCAATCTAACATGTAACTGTAGCAATAACAATGTAGAAGCAGCAGTTCAATTTAAGCTTAAGATACAGTGGACCTCACTAAATGAGAGCACCTTCATGATGATTAGCATACTAATAACTTCAGCATATTAACACCACCTCTTGTATCAATTCATTTGAACATGCTGGATAGACAATCCTTTCCAAAACACCACTATTTTGATTAAGCAATTTACACAGGGCTCTGAAGGATACGTGTCTCAGATCCCACCAAACAAAGTAAGTAGAGTATTTCCTGACATTTAGAACTCATTAATTGTGGTATCCCCAGTATTACTACATTACAGACAGACAAAGAAAACGTCTTTGAACATTAAGCTCACTTTGAACAGTAAATGACATAAAAACTACATACAATGTAGTAATTGCATTTAAGAATAACTAAAAGTTTTGCAACCTACAGGACTGTCACTGTAGTGATATGGAACCTTCATTTCATGAACAGACTCTGAATCTATTGTTTGCTTAATGAATTCAAATCAGCAACTGCACACAGCCACAGAAGCAACAGTGCCAATGGCAACAGACAGTTCAGAAATGGAGTCTATAAATTTTAACAACAATGGACTAAAAATGCCAAAATACCCTCAGGTCTCACTGGCTCTTGAAACTGCTGCATTAATCCCACAAGGCATTCCTTTTCAGTGGGTCTCTGACCTGATAGCCCTATCAAAGAAAAGATGAAATGGAAAAAAAGACAAAAAAGATGACAAAAAAAAAAAAGACAACTGTACCTCTCCACTCCACAACCTCTTGCTTTCATTATTAAGTTTTCTTTGGTTGCTGAACTATGCAAATAGTTTCCAAGAGCTGAGTACTGACAGGATATGAAGTATTCTAGGTTCTCCATTGCCACTGAGGGTTGCTTTGCTCTAGGCAGTTCATGAGAGGCAAGAACACCTGAAAAACACTACTATTCCAACTATCATTTCCTCATGGAGTTTCAACACTGTATTTAGTAAGGGCTATCCCAGCACTTATACAGATCTTCAAAAAGAAATGAGAAGTGGCAAGTATGCTGATGAGAAATGAGATATTTTGAGAGCACTGAAACATTTCTTGCTGGATGGTCCATACCTAGGAAGGAATTCAATCACTGCCACAGAAAATCTTCTTAATCAAAAACATGTGAATACACATTCTGTAATTTGCTGAACACTGGTCCAAATAGTCACCCAGAGACTGAAAGGACAGCTCAAGGTATTTACGAATGTAAAGCTTTACTTTGGCAGACATTAAGCATATTTATACGCTGCAAAAAACTTGTGTCTGGGCCTCTGTCCTGGAAAGAGTATCACCTACTTTCTCTAAAGCTGAATTTTGCCCAACTTTTTTTGTTGTTTTCAGATCAGGAACAAATTTTCTGCACTGCAGATTCACAATGCTAACCCAATACAAACCTGACATACTTCAACCAAAACCGTATCTCCCTGTGTTACTAAATCTGTATCTTCTAGTCCTCAGGTTGTTCTGTGCCTGTATTAGAATTACTTATTTCATTTACACTTTTTTCTTTCTTTGCTTCTTTTCTAGAAGTCTTCAAACACTTGTCGAGTCTTTTCAGGAATACATCTACATCTTGCTTTTTAATTCCAATTGCTGAGGCAGCATTGAGGTAAGCACAGGGATAGTCATTTGCATGTGACATAAAGCCTTTAAAAGTGTAGTTATTCACTGTTTGTACAGACCCACAGGGAACAACCCTGAAACAAACAAAATTGTGATTCAGTTAAAGATGCCTTGGATATTTTATGTGATACCCTACGATTAACACATTTACACAAGTTCCTATACAGTGTAGTATCTGCTTACTCTAAACAAATTAATATAAGGCAGCTTAGATCAGGCATTCTCCAAGTTAGTGCCCAGGCATCACTATGAGTGACAGTAGTAGCAGATCCTGAATTAGCTCAAGTCTGTGTGCATGTGCATATGTCCCTCCCCCCTTCAGTTAAATTATTAAGGTATTTACCACTGGTATTCATGAACTCCCTAGTGTGGGGGGACAAGACACCTGCAGCAAACTTTCTGATTCTATAACAAGTCCTAACTATCTGACCTGGGTCAGTTCCCCCCTCCCTAAGCAACCTTATGACCCTGATCTCCCCAGGATCACCGTATTGACAGCAGCCTTAGTGCAGACATTTGCTTGGCATAGTGTACTGCAGTCCAAAATGTCTGGGTTCAAGTGACTTAAGAGGCCTCAGGATCCCAACTTCCCCCACCCTGCCCCTTCCTCTATACTGTAACTTCCTTTTCCTCCCATCCTATGATATTAACTTCATATTTATTCCCTCCTTGTAGTGGATACTTTTTGCCACTGCTTTCACCTCTTTCTCATACTAACAGCCTCTACCTATTACACTCTATTTCTCAACACTTTCAGTACATACCCATTCCCTGATAAATCAAGACCCTAATGCACATCCTTACTTGTTAAAGGAACAACTCGCCTTGTGGCTACAGTTAAAGCCTACAAGAGCAGTTGACACCAATCAATTGATAAGAATTTACTACCTCTATAGAGACATTCCCTGCAGTTCATAAAAGAAACTGCATTCAAATACCACTAGGATTAGCAGATCCTTCCACTGTCCAAGTGCTCTGACCACAGGTTATGCAAAAGGCAGTAGGCTACTTAAGTAGGGAGTTGCTATTCCTACCACTGACGTTCAGCACAAGCATAACATTTAAAATCTGTTGAAATGCCAGGTCAAACAGCGTGTATGCTAAAAATTAATTACTCGCTTATGTAAAAAAAGGAAAAACCTGATACCTTTATATCAGGCAAAGAAGTGGAGAGTTTTAACTTCAAAAATTGAACCTCTTGAATCATTTCAGCCAAAGATGGCTGAAATTGCAGGACAAGCCAAGGTTAGGACAGGGAAATTAAAAAGAGCATCTAACTACAGTACATACAGATTTACTGTCATTCATCTGTGCAGGAAGTGGAATAATCCAAGCTAATGAAGCATACCTTCTGATGTGGAAACATTCAACTCTGCTACAAAAAAATGACATTAAGTCTATGGCAGAAGTTAGCATGGCAGCAGTAATATTCAGATTAAGGAATCCTGCCAAAACAAATTTTAAATAATTTTCTTCTTCTAAATGGTTTAAACCAAAATCGTTAAAAATTATTTGGCTTGCATTTCCATGTACCAGTGTCTCTAAGAATAAATTCAGCTCAGATGGGCTCAGGTTGTAGATTTTAAATTTTTTTTTTTTTGTAAACACAGTTAGTTCCGGGAAGCAGGATTTTCTTCCATGTGACAAAAGGCTACGTAGGGCATTAAAAGCTTATTCCTCTGACATCCAGCACAACCATATTTGTGCTGCAATAAACAAAACAAAGATCTGCCCTAAGTAGCTTACAACTTAAGATCAGACAACAGCTGGAAACTAAATGAAACCAAGGGATACTAGGGAATAATGACACTAAATTAAATGGGCATAGATTATCTATTTAGCCTACCAAAGCTAACAAAGGGGGCCTCATTGCTAACTCGGGCAGGCTGACATTATTAGCACATAACAGTGAAGAAGGCGGCTGTATTACTCTCTGACTCGTTATTGTCAGACTGTAATCTATAATCATGAAACAATTGGTACAAAACAAATATTATAGGATTTCATAAAATATATGCTAATACAACCCCCCAAATTTTTCAACTTCATATAATCCTCACCTCGCTCCAGAAACTTGTCTTGTGAAAAGCATAGATCCAAGCTGTGTAACAGCAGCATCATTATTTTCATCTAGATTCTTCAGTGACATGGCTAAAGTAACAAAAGGTCAAGTTAAAACTACTACAAAGCTTCTTTTTCTCCAAAGAAGAACCACAGAGGACAAGCTGTTTCCCAACAATAAAAGTCTAGCCAAATGTTTGTGTTCAGATACAAAGAAAAAAAGAAATATGAATACTACGTTTCATAATTTTTAATTTTCCCACAAGCTGCCATAGATTACTTCTTTGGTTAGACTGTATGTAAGGCAGATTCTGCACAGATAGGCAATATTACCTTGGTGTTCAGCAGAATTTTTGGTTAGAACAAATACCTTGAGTAGGAATTCCATAATCTCTTCTACAGCACTATAAGATGATGGGCAAAATAATTATAACCTAATTGATTTTTAAATCTACTTTTTTATAAAGTATTACTGCATGCTAACACCTTCTGCCTGTCTTGATTACAATAAATGAGTATGTTGGACAGGAGCAGTTCTGTAAAAAAAATAAAGGGCCCAAGTCACTACTCTTACTTTTATAGTAGGTTACCTTATTGGGTTCAACGGTTTCATATCAGCCCAAGAACAATTTAATGGAGCGTAGTGAACAATGTTTAATATATAGGAACTGTATGTGAAAGTGCATTATGAATGCACAGTATATTGGAATTTTTTTAAAAAAAGATAAAAAACAACAATTACCTAAGGAAATGGGATTATGTGGTGTGTCTAACAGTCTCTCACTGTGGTTATCTGCCAGCTTCTTCAGCTCACTTGAAAGATAGGAAAACATCTCCTGGAAAAAAAGATACAATATTTTTGTTATTAGCCATCAAACAGAGAAAATAGTACCTATTTCACAAAACTGTTAAGCCTCCATTATAACCTACAGGTGCCCAGCTGACCCTCTTTTCATGTGTACCAAGTAAGTGGACCAGGCAATTCTCTGAAATCATTCTATAAAGAAACAGCTCCATTTCCTGAACACTGTTCTTCCCCCTCAAGCTGGTACAAAGCTCTCTATCTGCTCTACTTGGGATGTCAGTCATTCTCTCCGTAGCCCTGAAACCTAGGAACCTTGAAGAGATTCCCACTGCACAGCAGGTCTTACCCCACGCCACTCCCGCAGGAGCTTTCCCCCACCCTAGCCCCCTGAGCCACAGAGAACAAACTGTTACCATCACAGATGGCCCCATTATGGCAAATGGCTCCTTACTTTGTTTTCTCTCTATTAATACATTCCAGACTAAGTAGTGCATTTTGTTACCATGTATCACACAACCATAATTACCACTAGTGCATAGACTTTTTCTGTATGAGAAGGGCAAGACAGTCTCTTAAGGAGATGGCTATGAGTACACATTTGAATGTATTTTGTTTCACACAATATATACTCTCCTGAATATTCAGCTCTATTGTGTAGCCAGTCCTCTTCCTGGGACCAACCCCTCCTGTTCAAGCCTACTAAAAGAATGGAGATATCTGAATTTCTACTATCACTTAGTTATATTGCACCTTTATTGTGAAAGTGTCATAAAACAGATTTATAAATCACTTGGCTCAGATACAAGTCACACTGCACATAAAAGGCTGCTTCTCTTACTTTATCCATATTTTATTTCCTCCTTTTTCCCCAGTAGTAATCTATGATAATTGCTCATGCTCTTCCTCAGTTTAATATCTTCCTCTTCACCTATCAGCTCAGAATACTTCTGGACAGAGTGAGAATAAACACTATTCTTCTTACTATATTCTTTGGCTTCTCCATTCTTTTTAATGCTTAGTCTCTCATAAAAACTAGCAGAAAGATACAGACACTGGGTGGTCTTTTTGAAAGATATTAAACACCAGATTTTTCCTCTTTCTGGCCATAAAGATTGTGCTGCTCATCTGCTTCAATGTGACTGCCTGTTTAAGCATCCTCATCAATTTCTGGACCTGACAAGTGATTTTTCATTCTTTAAATAGTGTTGCCTCTTCTGTTTGTAGACCAGTATCCTGTTCTGACCTGTGGACTCTGACAGATACAAATTACAGCTCGTGATCAAAATTATGTTTTTGAGCAGAACCTCCCAAAGGTCTTATGAAACCAAATGCGCTTTGTGGTAGCTAAGTTAAAAGAATGTTACAGCTGCTTTTCTTGAGCCACTGCAGTGAACCCAGTCTCACTTCATGAGTGACCAAATGAACACAGCTCTTTACCTGTTCTTCCTAATACCACAGAATGAATTCAGCCAGAGAGGAAAAAGTACCATCTTACTGTCTAAACAAATTAGGCTATTGATTCAACAAGAGAATAAAGCTTCTGCAATACTTGGAACAACAACAAACATTTTGGAAGGCATCTATGGTTAATTATCAGAAGTTGAAATTTGTGAAAAATCATTCTTATTTTTCAGAAGTGTTTGTAAATCAAGTGATTTTATGGTTTCAACTCAGAGTTTATTCACAGTTCACCCCGTGAAGCTGAAGAACATTTATGTTTCAAATGTTCAGACATTTTTGCCTTCTTTCTGGTCCCTCACTGAATATAAACACATTACTCATTTCTTATTTGCTTTCCACAATAAACGTCACCAATGTGTTAGCCATTTTATTAGTATTTTTTTGGAATCCAAATCATAAATTAATTTGTGCTCCCTCTGCTGGCTATTTACTTCTACAACTGAAGCAAAGTATTACAGAAATACACATAAATTGTGTCTACTATGGAGATATTGGTGAAATTAGTACTGAGAAAAACCTGTACTGGAACAGGAAAAAATTCCCAAGTAATTAATTTTTGTGTGGTACCTCCGATGCATCTCTTACAGTATTTATTACTGAAAGCACTGCAAGTTGGTATAACCAGTTACCCAGTGTATAGATGTATTAAATTAAGTTAAGATTAAATACCTGGGTTACGAGGTGAGCCTTTACATACATAGGAATTTGTTAAAACAAGGGAGAATGGAGAGACAGCAAAAAAACCCCAACAACCCAAGTATGTATTTTCATCAGTTTGACTGAAGCCACCTGAATACAAATCCAAAACTTCCTATTTTTATGAACGACACTATTTTTCATCTTTCCATTGGAAGCCCTCTAGATATTTTATAGTTTCAGAAGTTAAGCAGTTTGTTGCAAAACAGATTAACGGCCTTTCCAAAAAAAAGGAAAAAAGCAGTATTTTTGTGAGGTCAAATCTATAACCAACCTCTATTATAAAATATTTCTGTTACATGGAAAATTTATAAGCACCCTAAGCAATTATATAAAAATGAGCTCTTACATAATTGATTTTCTGTGGTAGGCACTCAAGTTTTCTCCAATTAAGCTATTATGCTAAAGTTGCATTGAACAACCCAAGCACTAAATGTCAGTTAAGTTTCATTATTTAACTCACTCTTTCCCCTTAGAAACTTATCACAAAACCTAACCAGGCTAGTGAAATGAATGCTAAACTCCATGAAGACATCTTGCACTTCTTCCGGTCTTTCTAGCACCTAAAACAATAAAATACCTCAAAAAGTATGAAGAACAAGTCAACAATGGTGTATGTATCAAATGTGCCAAATGACTCAATTATTTGGACAAAATGGCCTACTTCCACATACATATACAAAAATGTTTTCAAGTTTTGTAACAGTTATTAAAAATATTTGAATCATACTGTATTTACATTATAAAACTATTTTTTAATAGAAACTACACTAATATGGGTGACCCTTCATTGTTCCATTGTGATAGGCACTGTTCTTCTTCCAAATGGAAATAACTAGAGGGAAACAAGTAAGGAAAAAGCCAGTAACTCCAGAGAAAAAGCAGAAGATGGGGGTACTAAATATGCCATTAGTCCCGTATCAGTGACAGACAGACAACTAATGAAGGCCAGAAAACCTTTTGTGTAACCACCCAGCTTGCTTACGCTCAGAGTCTGTAACACTCTGCCTTCCTCCCTACTTCATTCTTATCTGAAAAGATGAGTTGTCCTCAGAGAAGAGCCATATAGCTGTTCACTGCACTGAAGAAGACAAAGCAGAAGAGTAATTTTATAACCTCTTTGTACTAGATACAGACTGCCAACTCTCATATGCCATACCTGAAAGGCTTTCAAGAAAGGCTTACTTTCTTGAAATGCAGTCAAACACGACAGAAACAGTTCACGTACATGTGTGATACCTACATATACCACATACCCTCATATATAGATTCTTCTGCATTGCAAGATCAAGAATTTTGTTCTGAATTTATAATATACTGGAAAGTTTTAAAAATATGAAATTAGTTACGGAACTTTTAAATCTTTGTATCATATAAAAGTAATCCAACAGAAACTGCCCAGCAAGTCTTGCCAACCTGATACGGTAACACTAATGCTGACAATCACCACACTCATTTTTTTAAAAGGTCTTTCTTAACAACGCCAATCAACATATTTTTTTCTTCAGCACTTGTAAGACCTTGCGATCAGGCTTCTTGTGGACCATACCTCTCCAATACATGCTTTAAGTATGTAGGCCTCTTTGAAGCTTCCATGCATAGTTGGCATTTGTTTAGCTACACAATACCATTTAAGATAATGAATACATTCAGTTAAACTATCTTGCCTCCAGCCACTCTAAAATTTGAATATGATTCCACATATTTCACATGAGGAAAATCCTGCAATATTCCCACGTTTGACAAACTACAGTGTAGCAAACTGACTAGACAAAAAAAAGAGTAACAAATGTATGTCTTGTTGTAAGAATATTTGATTTTTTGCAATTTTAATATCCAGCATTAAATGGCTTTCTCCTCTTCTTCTTAAACTCAATCACAAGTAGAGCAGCAATATAAACTCACACTGAACTGTACAAATAATTTATTCCTATCAGAATAATTACATCAATGATAAACCATGAAACGTAAACCCAGTATTTTACTGAATTGTAAAACCCAAACAATGTCCTCCTACTCAGGATGATTTTAAATATTTTAGATACATACTCCATAAGGACATAAAAGTTACTCCAGTTAATCACTCTTAGAAAGTATACAGACAGATGGATACAGATATAAAAAGCTCCATCACATCCCAAGTAACACAGAAATACATTTAAGAAAATCAGAATTATCTTGATCATTAGATTGTTAAGGAAAGTCTAATGAGGAAATTTGTAACTGCTGAAAACAAAATGAAGCCATCATGTCTCCAGTAATATCAGTATAATAATGACTTAAATGGATTAAATGGACCACATTGGAAAATAGTTAACAGGTATTAAACCTGGTATGTAGGGTCCTGAATGTAGGGTCCTTGCTCTCCATCAATTCTAAGGTGTCAATTGAAGTCTACTGTCTATGCTATTGCACAGTGTAACCACTGTATCTGCTCGAGGGTAGGAAGGCTCTACAGAGGGATCTGGACAGGCTGGATCGATGGGCTGAGGCCAATTGTATGAAGTTCAACAAGGCCAAGTGCCGGGTCCTGCACTTGGGTCACAACAACCCCATGCAGCGCTACAGGCTTGGGGACGGGTGGCTGGAAAGCTGCCTGGTGGAAAAAGACCTGGGGGTGCTGGTCGACAGCCAGCTGAATATAAGCCAACAGTGTGCCCAGGTGGCCAAGATGGCCAACAGCATTCTGGCTTTTATCAGAAATAGCGTGGCCAGCAGGAGCAGGGAGGTGACTGTTCCCCTGTACTGGGCACTGGTGCTCGAATGCTGTGTTCAGTTTTGGGCCCCTCACTACAGGAAAGACATTGAGGTGCTGGAGCATGTCCAGAGAAGGGCAGCAAAGCTGGTGAGGGGCCTGGAGCACAAGTCTTACGAGGAGCAGCTGAGGGAACTGGGGCTGTTTAGTCTGGAGAAAAGGAGGCTGAGGGGAGACCTTATTGCTCTCTACAGCTGCCTGAAAGGGGGGTTGTAGTGAGGTGGGTGCTGGTCTCTTCTCCCAAGTAACAAGCAATAGGACAAGAAGAAATGGCCTCAAGCTGCACCAGGGGAGGTTTAGGTTGGATATTAGGAAAAGTTTCTTTACCGAAAGGGTTTGTCAGGCATTGGAACAGGCTGCCCAGGGAAGTGGTTGAGTCACCATCCCTGGAGGTATTAAAAAAGCACATAGACAAGGCACTTCAGGACATGGTTTAGTGGGCATGGTTGATGGTTGGACTCAATGATCTTAAAGGTCTTTTCCAACCCAAACAATTCTATGATTCTATATTTGCTACATGTGGCTTGGTTCAGACACACAAATACATACATGAAAACAGTGAGTTTTAAGACCTGACAATGCAGAATATGGGACACAACATAAACTGTACTGAGGAAGTCAAAGGAGTTGCTACAAAATCATAACCTTTAGATAAAATGAGTTCTTTAAAAGCAAAGATATTAACAAATTTGACTACTGATCAGATGTCATTATCTGCATTACAAAATGACCTAGAACCCTCTACTCAGATCAGAAAACCACTGTTCTAAACTCCACATAAACATATAAAGAGAACTACTGAAAATTTAGAACAAGTGAGAAAACATTACTGTTGGTGGTCTTCTTCCATCCTTTCTCCGGAAACATCAAGGCTAAATACGACTATTGAAAACATTCCTTATTAAGCTTTCATACATGGCAACCTTTATTCAGACACTTGGACAGCATGTGTGTTACTCCCTTGCTCTTCTGTCCTCAGATACATCACCCCATTTTACTCCTTCATAGCATAACACAATCTCATACTGTTGGACAATTGCACACCCCGTGACTGCCAGCTTGTCAGAAAATCCCACTCCATGTACATGCTCCTCTCCCTCATACAATCTCTTACCCTCCTATATTAAACAGTTCATCTGTGTAAAAGAAAATCTGAGTGGACTATTTCTTTCCTTGGTTGTGGGAGATTAATCTCTTCTCAGTAATATTCTGGTCTTTCTGGCTTGAGCTCAAATAACCTGAAGTAACACTCATGTGAATAAGGATAAGGTAAGAAGAGAAAGAAAAAAAAAAATACTTGAAGTTTTTTATAGCTGACTTTTTGTGTGAGTAGGTGTAGCTGCACCAATATAGAAAGGAGTACTCAATGTCAAGCTATAAATAGCTCCTGCTGGGAGCCTAATAGCTCTGCCTCTGCTTTCACAGAGCACAGGCAATAAACTATCACTATTACATTTTTACAATTCAGGAACAAACAGATTTAAGCAAAAAAAGGTTTCTATTTCTACAGCAAATCCAATAAAAGAAACATATTTACACCATATATAGGGCTGTGTTTATAGAGTATACTCACATTTGAAATAAAAAGACCTGAAGTTGTAAAAATATAATGCTTTATTCACTTTAGAAATCTACTTCCAAGAAAATGACATGATTCAAAATATACAGCTATTCATTAAGACATTTTATTTATGAAAGAATTATTATTTATGACTTGGAGAATATGTATACTGCCCATTATGTACCTGCTACCAATGTAAATCTAACATAAAAATCAGCTTTGCAGAAGACAGAGATAAATTCACTTGAGATTCTTTTGGAGATGAGAGTGAAGGGGGAAAAAATACAATTTGCTTTTAACGAAGACACAAACCGTACCTGGCAATACATACAACAGTCCAGAAAAAAATGTTAGAAACTGTATCGCAATAGTGACAGAAGTGGTAACTGCTTTCAGTGTTTCAGAAGCCATGTTTTCACTTTAGTTGCACAGATCGCTTCTTAGTCATTGTAAAGCCACTAAGCTGGTTTGGTTTTCTATAGTCTAGCTATTCCTATGGGATCTCAATTGCAGTACAGAATTTCTGGATGCCTCTACAAGGAGCTAGAAACAAGCCACAGCATCCAGCACTATTGCCCTGCCAGGTAATCAGAGCAAGCTGTCAGCAGCAAACAATTGTAACGTAATTTCTAAATAAGATAATGGAACAGATCATGCATGATTTAAAACTATTAACTTAACAGTACTTAATTCACAGCATTTCCTTACATAAAACCCTCTACAAAAAGAATCCTTTGTGTTTATATCTAAAGATAGCAAAATCAGGCCTGTATTATGTCCAGATTTAAGGAAAACTCAAGATGTACAGGTTCCAACTTTAGACCCCTTGAATGTTTGTGCAATGCAGTTATACCCAACATAAAACATATAGTCTATGAGAGGCAGAGAAGAAACCTAGCTCTGTATCTAGGTGAATACCTTAAATGACAGTATTTTTCTCTTTTTGTGGCCATGCATAGTATTTATAACCTAACCAGAAGCTGTGATTCTCCAGAGAATGTGATACACAAACACTTAATTAAACACCATCATAGCACAAAGGCACAATAGGGCCAAATGAAGAAGAGCAGAGACCCCCGGGTCACCTCTGACTGTCCGATCTGATGCCTTAGTCCTGGGAGCAGCATGACCATGATGACACAGCACAGTAATTCTCAGATTAAGCTTTTGTGGGCAAAATTCCACTGTATTAGTCACACTTTAGAACAACAAATATGAATACTGTACAAGATAGTACATGACTCAGTTTAGCTTTCTGGATTGGAAAACAACACAGAAACCAAGCTTACTCATGAGCACCATTTAGCCATGAAGTAATTACATCATACTGCCTTTCCTGAGCTGTGAGCTCAGAAGTTCAATGGCTTTCTAGACAGAAACAGGCTTTACCACACAAAGCAGTTTTGACCAAGACTTTGTTACCAGGTGACTTCAAGAAAGTGCTGCTTGCTAGAAAGCTTACCTTTCTTTCTTTCAGTAACTGTTTGTAGCCACTGGCACCGAGAGACAGAAGTGTAATGAGGACATCTAAGGAAGGAGACGCAGATGCTCTTCCTGAAAAAAAAAAAAAAACCCCACAGAAAAACCCAAACCCAATATACAGATTAAATTGTCAAAAATAAAAATTATCTGAAAGCAAGCTGAAAAGCAAGCTTTCTGCAGTTATTTGGCAGGGATGAAATGGGCCCACGAACCAGTAGTTACCTGGGTACATTTTGCTGATCTCCTGAATGAAGGACTCGTTGAAGCCAGCAATGATAGCTCCACCTACTGGAACCATAAAATTTTTGTCCAAGCTCTGCACAAAAGCATCTATCCTGCCTACCCGAGCACCCTTTATCAAAAAGGAACAACAAAAAAATAATCCACAGCATATGTTAGAAAAAAGGAAACAAGCGATAGCATGATAATTACACAGCAATGTAATGGAAATAAATATAATTGAAACTCTCTCCAATATTGCATTTGTGATGAAAAATGAAAAAATCATAGTACTACCTTTTCTTAGCATTGCTCACTGTTATTACCATTATCTGCTTACATAGTACCTTACAAATTCCTATTTTGCTATTATTTAAAATATTGATCTTAGCTCCTGAAAGTCTAAGTGTAGCTTATTTTCAACAACAACCAAAAAGAAAACCCTTGGAATTTAATGGGAATTATACAGTTAAAACTGTACGACCCAAAACATTTCACAGATTCTCACAGTAAAAGGCTACAGGTTAATGCTTCATTAGAAAATAAGCAGCTTCTTCTTGATACATGTATAAATTTGCATTAAAACAAGAGGGCTGTGACAGCACTCCTTCTTATAAGGCTGCTTGCCTTGTACCTATGGCAGATTTGCCCACTTCCCAGAAAACAAAACATCCTTATACCTAACCACTCAGATATTCTTAAAGGAAGAAATGTAGATTCTGCAGTACTTCTTCAATTTGAGTAAGATGCTACTGTGAACTGTACAATTAAAGTATGCAGCATAACAGAACCTGACAGGTATATTAAAGAACATACATATTAAAGTATATTCAAATGCATACATATTAAAAGTACTGCAAACTAAAACCAAGAAATAGAAACAGAGTTAATACCTATGGCAAAAAGGAGTGAAAAAAGCAGATCCAACTAAATCACAGTTATTATTTCTATGTTTTAATAGCTTAGTGCATGGGAGATAGGAAGAAGCACTCCGAGTTTGTCAGCTTTTTGATGGCAAGATGAATGCCAGCAGCTATCATTTGATTTAATTGACAGGAAACCACCAGAGGAAAAGCATGACAAATGAAATGGTCTCAAAAGCTCTTTCCCATGATACTCTTGCAAGTTCTGTTCACACTGTGCTCAGCATGTACATACTCCTAAGTATTCATTAATAACTACTTCCTTACAGACAGTACATTTTCTATTGCAGGAAATAAATTTTTGTAAATAAATGTAAAACAAATCAGAGCTCAAATGTATACATTTGCATAACCGAAGAACAACCAACCAACCCCCCCAAACAACATATCAAGAAGCCAAGAAGAAACACAGAAACCAACACAATAACAGTTCTATTTGCAGCTTTATAGTCTGAAAAGATTATCATTAGATACATTTCATGCAGTAAAAATCAGCAATTCCACAGCCCCCTTCATGTTAGAATTTCACTAAACTTGTGCAAGTTAAATACAATAAACATATACCAAGCACATTACAAATAAAGCATATTCCATTTTCTATTTCACACATCACTTCAAGTTTTGTCAAAATCCTTCAGTCTCTCAAGATTTAGAAATGCCAGCATGACATTACTGTCATAATTATGTATCAAGTCAGTCTGTGCCCAGTTAATAACATAATGTCTTCTTAATTATAAAAAAAAAAAAAAAAGACTGGCATATTTTAAATTCATGACAGTTCAGGATCCCCTGAATCCTGTTAAAAAAATAGCCACCTATTCTTTTGACATGGGCAACTGAGAGAAAAGAGAAATATTGAAGAAACAGTGCACATACATTGCAATGAGCAAAAATGCAAGAATTCTAGGTTTCTTGGCTGATCTTAGATATTAAGCAACCCCTTCTTCAAACTAAATGGCAACAGAAATTAAACTTTTTCAAACATAACATTGAACTTAACCCGGTTTCCTCAGCCGTTCTCTGTACCAACAGTATTTTAGCAGTGACAGCATCTATAAAGTGTTGCTGTAGAATCTTGTACCTTCAACTGAAAATCTGTAACTCACATTCTGTTGAAGGCTTAATCCTTATTCAAGTATGACCCATTATTTTATTTTTAATCAACAAGTTCAGGAAATATTTTAAGAAAGCTTATTAAGGACATTTTTCCATTATGGAAGACACTTGAACATAAACAAAACCTAAATAGATTTGGGGTTATTACATAAAAAGAATGTAATAGAAATAACAAATATTATTTTTAAGTTCTACTTCCCTCTGTTCTGCTTTCTTAGAAAATTGTTCAAATATCAGACATGCGTGGGATTAGTCTCAAAGCTGAAACATCCGATAAAATTTGCTAGTGTTGTCTACAATCAGAGATTTACTTACACTTGTTAAAAAAATTATTATTGGAAATACACAGCTCCTACCTGCTGGATAAGATGCATACATTTTGAAGATTGAACTCCATATGCATTGTTGACAATATGGGGAATGTCATAATTAGCACAAATCACAGCCAGTTCCTCCAGCCTATGAGCATAAAATTGTAATTTAGAGAAGCATTGATAACTGTAACTAATGTTACAAATCAGACCATTAAAAGACTGAAAGGTCTACAAAGAAGTCAGAATGAGAAAAGAAACTTTTTTGATTAGTGCCTCAAGGCAGCACTTGTCATCTTAAGCTATAAAGGTTAAGAAGAAAATTCTGCTAGCTTTTACATACACTACAAATTGTTGACCTGGGCTGAAATTTTTCATGCTTCACTGAAAAGTTTTGTCTGTAAACCAGTAAATAGATCCCAAATCATTCTGCTTCAGATATAAGCATTTTTTAATACTACTTTAATGATAACTGAAAGAGCTTTAGCTATTCATACTTTTTTTCCTTTTCTTCTAATATTCAACCTGAAAATAGCCTGATGGAAGTTTCAAGATGTGTCTTGGGAATCAAAAGTATCATATAACAGGAAGTTTGTACATGCTTCTGTTTATTTCAAAGAACTAATATTTCAACCCTTTGGCTGAAATCTCACTTGCATATTTCAGATAAACTGATTAACAGAAAAGATATTCTTCAAAGGAATGGAAAGTCCTAAAATATCTGAATGTGGAGATGAACAAATTAAAACTTTGTTCAACTGTTTACTCAGAAATAAAGACAACTCTTTACTTGCCTTTAGAAACCCCTGAAATCACAGTGAGCTCAGCCTGGATTGATTTCTCAGTCAAACTAGGATTTATATGGGTACATAGGTCATTTTGGGTAAGGGCTTTCAGCATTTTAAACACATGTACTTAGTACCCTTTTTAGAAGCACTCCAATCATGCTCTATTTTTAAAAAAAAAACACTCGATTTTCCCCAAACTTGTAAATATATTTTAGAAATAAATCTATTTGAAAAAATAAGATAATATATAGTAATTTAAAGTGATGATAAAGGTAATATTATTAAAAAAAAAATCAGGAAACTCTAAACCTCCAATGCATTTTTACTCTATCTCCTTCTGTACAGCCTCTCACTGTAATTTACTGACATTCATATAAAATGTGACAGAGTATAAAAACATTTTTCCAAGAGGTGACATTCCTTTGCATTCTATTTCTATTACATTGCCTAGTGTCATTTTGTAATGCAAAATTCAGCTGCAAACCTCAGATTAAATTTGCTGAACCTCAATCCTTAGGAAAACATCATCATCACTGTATTATCCCTAAAGAAATTACAAGTATTTAATGATTAGCAAACACCAGTAGTATAATGTATGTATTGATCTTCTACATTCAAGATATTTGTCAGGAGCTGCATGTCCAATAATTTTTCACATTTATCAACATCCCAAATCCTGAACTATGTAACATTAACAGAATACTTTGGAAACATAACACTACACAGGAAGAAGTTTTTGCCTTCTGATCTGCTGATCTTTATCAGACTCATTCCTCACCTTCAACAGACTCAAAGAAAAACAGTTCCCGTCTTACAGACTTCTTTTCAAGTGCAGGTTGAGAATTTCACCAAACTGGAAACATAGAGGGTGTACTGCTATGTATGTTTGTCTTTCTCACCTCCTGAGACTTAAAGGAGCAATACACTAGCTTCTACAAGTACTGAAAACAGAAAAGTCTCTTTATTTTTCCTAAAAATATTCTACTGAACAATCAGGTCCATATTACAATACAGGATGAGAGTGCTACAGTTTGCAAAGAACATGTGATTATGCAAGGGAAGCAAACAATTATGCACAGCACTTGTCTGCTTCCAAGGCTTAAAATGAACCATTAGAAGTGCTGCTAGTCATATCAGAAAAATAAAGCATTTATGTAAGTTTGGCTACTACTCGAATTCTTAAAAGTTACAAATAGGACTTAGAGAAATATTTTCCAATTTATTCTTTCTTTCTCTCCTGTTTGTGAAAATTCATAAAAAGAAAGCTTTGCTCTTTCTTCTAATATTAATGAAAGTAACAAGATACAGAGTTCCGCTAAGTACGTTAACTAAAAAAGACACTTTTTTTCCTTTAATTCTCTTTTAAATACAATAGTTTTAGACACAACTCACAGCAACAGCATGTAAAAGGCTGTCTGAACTGATGTCTTTCCAAGGAACGGGGTTTATACACTAGTGAATTATTCCCATAAAGTTAAATAATACGTCAAAGGAAAGCTATAGGTACACAGGCATAAAAAAATCTTACCCTGACCTTTTAATGATTCTAAGCCACTTAAAATTTCAAAACACCACCACCACAACTACACAAAGCCTTACAAATGCAAGATATTTAAAAATAGACTTTTAAAATGGTACACTCCAGAAATGCTGTAAGGGATTTTCCTTCCTGCAGGAAGATGGATCTTATGGTCTTCAACAGTTGACAGTACCCTTTAAATAGAAAGTGCGTTCAAATCCTCCTATATCTGTGGTATATCATAACACAGTGCCACTACCTAATAATTCATCTCTTAGTTGCAGAGGACAAAACAATTGCATGTCAAAAAGAGGAAGCAGATAAGGAAAAGATTCATTTACCCAAGCTATAAAATAGACCATTCAATTCTGATAGCTGTGATTTAAGTTAGCCAATAAATCTGCAAGTCAACTTCAAGCAATGTTCATAGCATTCTGACAGAATTATATGGTTTTAACTTCCCTCTAGCAAGGGGGTTAACCTATGATAAATACTGGGGTTTTTTAAAGGTAGGAAAACAGTGAAACATATCTTTACTTGCCGTGTTTCATAGTCAATAATGTTTCTTTCCTACATTTGCAAATATTCAACTAAATTTTCCAGATAACAAAGTAATTAACAAAAAAGCACGCACTGCAGAGGAACTCTAAACACAAGTCTTTTCAATTTTGTTATAAATTAAAAACAGTTGAAGTGGAACAGCTGAGACACTACATTCAAAACCATGTTAAAAAAAGACATCTTACTAATATCACATCCTTCGGTGTACTACATACAGGTCCATAAAAATATACCTGTTCAATTGTAAAACCTAAGGATTTTGCTTCTTGATACTTATTTTTGTAAGCAATAGAGAAAGCAGTTTTGCAAGTAACAACGGTGCTCATTTTGAACAAATGACTCAATATACCAAGTACTTTAGGCACCTCTACTCCAACATGTCATTTTCAGATTGGGAAGTTTTTCAAGTATTTCATAACCAAGCTACACATTGAAATAATGTCTCAGATGCTCTATTTCCCATCCATAACTGTAATGTTCATCTCAGCTTCAGCTAGTGCTTGAATGACATCTTCGTAGCAACTATGCAAGTTATATACATGGACACATAATATCAGGAAAGAATGAAATGTATTTTAAGTTTCTTTTAATGATGATTTAACAGCTGGAAATTATAAGTAGTAGTACCATGCAATCAGGCAGCAAATGTTCAAACCAAGATAAGTTACAGCAGGGGAAATCATATGTTATATAGCACATCTGCCCTAGATACTTCCAAGAGTTTTCTTATCTCAGTATATCTTAACTAGCCCTATAAACATCAATATAATACAGAAAAGAGTACCTCAAGGAAAGATTTTTAAATTAGCTGTAGGGCTTTTTTTTTTTTTTTAAACTGTATTAACAGCCTAGGAAAATTCAGAATTGGCTAGAGAAGAAGAGTAGAAAAGGCAACAGTAATATTAAAATGTGGCATTAGCTATGGAACTACATTTCCCGGACTACATTTCTATGAAAGTCTACTACTACTACTTTGGTGAAATCATAAGAAAACCACTGCCAAAATGGCATTCATTTCACCATGAGAGATCATCATTAACCTCAGTTATATGACAGAAGGAAAACCACCTGCATTATTCTCACTTTTTAAATAGACTTTTCTGAAAGTACAACATTTTTTCAACCTGCCATTTTCCTTAAGCAAGGGGATTAAAGTATCTTTACTAATTGTTGGCAGTAATTAAGCAATTTTAGGAAGATGGACATTCAAAACATGGAAGTTTTGTTTGTTTGTTTTACAGTAACAAATAACACACTTCTTAAAAGATGACTTACCTATCAGGTACCCTTGGAGCAAAGCAAGACGTTGTAGAATGCACACAAAGAATATTTTCAGCTCCAAGAGCCTTGATTTTAGTCTCCACTGCTTCAATGTCTGTCCGTAGCTCATCGCCTTCTAACACATTTTCTATCACCACTGGCTCAAAACCTGACCAAAAAAAGCAAGACCTGAATGTATATCATCAAATCTCTGACTAATCGTGGGGTTTTAGTTCCAGTACATATCTGAAAAATCTTCTTGCTTCTGTTGTTTCAACAGATTCTTTCAGACTTGGATTAAGAACAGAGATACATAAACTGTTTTATTGTACAATGTCCATATAGCTAAAAACTACAATAATATTCTTGTTAAATACTGGACTCCAGACAAAAGCTTACCTTACATTCTTTCCATGCAACAGCAACAGGTTTGAAGATTGTTTTAAAAACGTCATAATTTCTTCCCTTCCAATTACAAAAAAAATGTTTGAGTAGCATTCTTGTAAAACAGTAGCATACCAAAACAGCGTCTCTAAAAAAGGATGCTGTTAGATGTAGCAATGCTATAATGATCATTATGAATTGGCTTTCATCATAAGCCTCTGCCTTATTCAATTCATAAACTTCCAAATTACTTCTTAAAAGATAAAAATGTCCACATTTGACTTCACTTTGAAAATGAACTTTGTCATATCAAAATCCAAGCTATTTCCCTAGGTTTGTTTTTTTTTTTTTTTTTTTTTTAAGTTTCCAGTTTAAGTTTGTATTTAAGATGTACAACAGCTGAACCTTGTAAGGTTGTTTCTCAAGGACACATATGAGAAACATTTGAAAAAAGGAATCTATCCCCTTCCTCTAAATGCCGGAATGTTTCCAGTTTTGGAATGGGCTGCTCAGGAGGGATGTTGAAAAACCAGAGAGGGTCCATCAGAGTGCTACCAAGATGGGTGTGGTACAGTGCACACAGCTTAGAAAGGAAGGCTGTTAAGAGCTAGACTTTTCAAGTCTGAAGAGGCTAGAGGAGAACATCCAATAACAGCCCCCAACCATCTGAAAGGGAATTACAAAGACAAGAGAGCCAAAGATTCAAAATAAACAGCAAGAAAACCCTTTTTTTTTTTTCGTTCAGAGGATAGCACAGCACTGGAACTGCTATCCAGACAGGCTGTGCAATCTCCATCCTCAAAGATTTTCAAGATTCAGATAGACAAAGGCATGGTTGACCTAACCTAGCGCTTAAAGAGTTTTCTTTCTTAAAGAGGGAAGCCTGTCATGCTAGTTGCTCAAATTTCTAGCTTATAAATAAATCAATCAGAAAGGTTTTCTTTACAGAATAAAACACTGGAAACCATATATTCCCTTCCCCAAAGAGGTGTGACACGACAGCAACATCATGCCAGCTGAAGAGGCTATTACTTTCTTAAAAACAGAGATGTTCAGGTTACTGAATGAATGTAAAGGAGAAGAGGGCAGCGGAAAGCAAAAGGGTGATTTCCAAAGCAGTGTAACACGGCAACAGCTATGTGAATTTTTCTTTCATGGCTCAACACCATGCCTTAACACTGACTAAGTAAGGCTCAAACTCTACAGAAGAACTCGGACTAGAATGATTTATTGACATTGTTAGCCCTAATCTGGTTTTCAATTAGTGATCTAGAAGACAGAGATTACATTTAATAGATAGTTGTTAGATACCCGATACCTGCTTCTCACTTATTTTTAGTTGATAATTATTTTAATTAATTTTGTGATAGCTGTCTTTACTAGTCAAAAAATTAATAGATCAATTATATTTCCTCACAACTATCTCCACTACAAACATAATTTCCTTAGATTGATGTTCTAAATTGAGCATAATATTCCAAAAACACTCCCACTTTTCTCATATATATGTTCTATTTGTTCTGATCTGATTCCTTTTAAACACCTCTGCATCTTACCTGGACAGAATCCCATCCCTTAGTCATTTTTATGTAATGATTCTTTTATGCAAAATATAAATGTGTCCTAGGAACTAGGACCAGAATCTATGCCACCACCTGCAGGTATGTGCACTGAGCTGGAAAATTATGGTCTCCCTCACTTGCCGTTTCCTTGATCCCATGCATCTGTCTACAAGATGGGACAGCTTCAGTGCAGGGATAGATTCTACCTTTAGCTTACTTATAGAGTGATAAACAAGGAACTCCATTTGAGAGAAATTAAGGTTTGAACTAAGAAAGACACCAAACTCATTTCCTGAGCGAGCTGAGTGACACTGCAAGATTAAAAACAAATAGGGCAGCAAACACTTCCCATGTTCTAAAAGAAAAGAATGTGCAAATCAGACAGTTTGTCACCTTCTGATCACAATTCCTAGGACACATATGCTTTTTGCATAAATCAAAGAGAGAAATTTGAACCGTGAGCCTTGGTTTTACATAATTCTCAGGACAGCAAATTAGGCATCTGAGAGCTAACTGTAACTTCCTTAGCATTGTGTTCTCTATTGACTACTTTAGACACCTCTGTACCTCAGCATACACCTACACTTCACAAGGCATTAGGAAGATAACTCATACATGTGATTGCATGTTAGAAATCAGGAGTGTAGAAATAAAGCAGTTAGAACTACTATGCATTATGCCTCTTCTGTATCTGACTGCAAGCATATGAATTGATCACTCTGCTAGATGAAGTTTTATATCTGTTAGAATAACACACCGCATAATCAGTCAGTTCCTTCTTACCTGCAGTTATCATTGACTTAAAGCAAGATTTCTGGTCTATACGTGGCCAGATAATGTATTTTGCCTTTGGTCTCTTGTGCCGCAATGTTAAAAAACACAGAGTTAGACTCATGCCAGTTGCCATAGGAACCACAAAGCAATTGGTCACTGTCCGGACACCTGCCCATAAAAAGCAAGTCAGAAATTGACATGAAGAACCCATGACATGCCCCCACAAACGAGAGATATTTTCAGATTTACACCTACCAGCCAGCTTTATAATATCCAGAACTACTGAATTAGTAAGTTTGTTCAAAAGGCTAGACCCTGCAGCTTTAGGCTGGACTGCAGAAATATCACCTGACCTTCCAATTCCATGGATCAACCTAAACAAAAAAGGTTGAAAACATACGTCAAGGTTTTTCACATCCCAAAGCAATAATTCTTGCTGACTGAAAAGAACTTAATTTGATAAACAATTGTGGAAAATGCTATATCCAATGCAACATCAATATCTGCCATAATGAGTTCCATTGTAATAAACTACACGTATTTGTATGATTTTTTTAAAAAATTTTTTTTAACAGTAGATCAACAATGTCCCAGTATGCAAGTAAAGACTTTGAGAAGACCTATAGCAGCAACATCTTTAGCATCTGGCAGGCTTCCTTTTAGGCGCGCCTCAGCACTTCTTGATGTCTGTTGGATTAGCATTATAAATGCTGACATGTTCAGACACAGAGTTCCAAGGAAAACAAAAATCAGTTACCTATAGTGTAGCATACCACAGGCATAGTGGTATTATACAGAAACTCCCCTTGACAAATGCTTCACCTCCATTGGGCAAAGAAATAATATATACTGTGACAAAATGTTCTGAAAGACAGTTAGGTTAACATATCACTTTGCCAATCTTTTTCTACATCTTCACTTCATCTACCTCATTCTACTATTCAATATTATGTATCATGCAATACCATCTCTCTCTGCATTCTGTTTATAAATTATGTTTATTAACTGCGTTTATAAATGTTGGATATTATTTAGCACCTTTCAGGAGTGCAGGATTCTGAAATTGTTCATAAAACATAAGCTTACAGAACTAACTTTACCCATGGCTGAAATGGAGCAGCTGCTCAAGTAAGGTAGTAACAATACACATCTATTTATGGCTTTAATTCTGATTTTGTCTTGGGAATAGAGTAAAATGTAGTCTGATGAGTGTATGGAATTCGGACTTCTTGGAGCATAGTTTTACAGCTTAATTTTTTTTTCCCCCCATTTCAAGCTATAGGTTGAAATCAACAATAGCTTGATAATTAATTGACACTTGCACATAATCCTCACTCCATCAAAAATATTTTCTTCCCTTGTTCCTGCTGCTATGTTCTTAATAGCTTTCTCATGTTACTACTTTCTTTTCTGCACACATGTAATCCTTCCTAAGGAGCAATCCTCCCTAAGACTGGCCTTAGAATTTATTAAGCTGAAAGAAAAGACAGCTTGAGAACCACCTCCTGCTACCTCCACCACGCCCAAAGTTACCTGTAAAACTTACTGCAAAAATAAGTGGTGTGAAGGATGCCTCTAAGCTTTTCCTTGCTATTGCCGACACTCACAGGTGAAGGTGAGATGGCAGGTGACAGAGCTGCATCAGACCAACAGTAGCTAAGTGCCAGCCCAGGCTCTCTCTGGCCAGAAGCTGGGCATGCTTTGTCCAGCATTGTCAGAAAACAGTACTTCCTCAGATACTGTCCCCAGTGTGACCCTCTACCTCCCTCACCACGCATATCCTAGACTAGAGAGTAGTAGAGAAAACAACAAAAAAAAAGCCAAACTGATGTATTACTGGCTTTGTTCATTAATTTTTCATGGTACTGTAGGGCTCATGAAAGCCATTAAGCCTAAGTAATTCAACTTCCATATGGTAAAGCTTACTGAACTTCTGGTCTCTAACATGCTTTGTGTTAATCTTTCAAGGAGAAACATTCCAAGAAATTTCACTTTGTTTCATTCCTGTTAGATAAAACATCACAGTAAGGTACTCAGCACAGAACTCTATGCAAAAAAAAAAAAAAGTATATTCATAAAGAAATTAACACAGAGCCTCCAGAACTATAGCATCCAACATAGCCATCAAGTGTCAGAAGGGCTACAAGCTTTTAAAAGCTTTTGTTGTCTTTACAGATCTCCTTACTTCATATAAAATCTATTACAGATGGACTGGGTTTTCATGTGCATTATCAACTAATTACATTATAAAGATATTAATGAATATAACAAAATACAAATAGCTGTTCACTAGGAACATTCGATACTTTACAACTACAATATGCAGATGAAAAAGATGTGCAGTATTAAAAAAGGCAAGTAATGCATAGATTATTTTAAAACAGGAAGATCTCTACTTCCCTTGCATGCAGTTAACTCAACATCTTAAGCTTCTACGAGTTCAGCATACAGGACGTAACCCTGACAAAACATTTTTGTTTCATTCAAGACTTTCCAATGAGTTATTAACGAAAATTCAATACAGAAAATTGTATCAATTCAATAGCGCATTATATTGTGTTTCTCAAACGCTGTCAAGGTCTCAGATAACAAAACACAATAAAATATGCCATTTGAAAGCTTTAGTAATAAATCTGAGTAATTCAAATTACCAATAATTTGTACCTGTAATGCCTTCGGGCAACAAGTCCCGATGCCACTCTTCCTTCTCTCTCACCCACACCACAGTTGCCCAGAAAGTTATTGCTATCCATTATAGCAAGTTCATGAAGAAAGAGCTCAATGGTGCTTTCATCCCATCCATCTTCAGGACATTTTCCCTTAATAATAATAATATAAAGGTAAATACGAAACTTGGAAATTAAAAATGAACAAAACTTTATGCAACTTGTTTGATTAATGTTACCCTTCTTTCCCACTCTGAACAGCAGTTTGTATTTTCATTATGCTGTTTTATATGATCTAATGTTATGAACCTGTATTGAGAGAAAAGTTAAATAAGGATTTTTCCATATATTAAGTGCAATTACATTAGCATATCCTGATATTAAAATAGTCAGGATATTTTTCACTTTCAAGTACTCTTTAAGGCACACACAAAACTACTGCAGCACATACACGTTAATTACTCCCTAGAAGACTATAGGTTATTCGATGTATTCTCTAGACAAGAATCTACTACTACAGGAATTCAACAGAGAAAACTGGATGAAAGGGAGAAAAGTGTGTATTATAGAACCAAAAACATTAGTTATGTGCAGAAGGGAAAGAGTTTCACTTGTAACACATTTTCCTGTCTGCATATTTTCCTTTCTAGTTATTATCTAACAGGTAAGGAAACCACTTACAGAATATAATGTGTCCAAACCTTCAACCAGAGACACGCTCTTTCTTATGCTCTTTACTGCATTAAGAACTGCACTCATCTTTGCAAATTGCAGAAAAGATCCTCAGAGGAAAGGTACCCATGAACCCATGAAGCATTACTATAGCAGCTCAGCAGTTCAGAGGCTTTTTTTACACGTCCCAGTAACAGTAAAATTCATTCAGTAAAACTAATTCACTTCTGAAGCGTGGTATGAAAGTTAAGTTTGAAACAGGGGACGATGTGACTAAGGATGTTCAAGAACTGAAACACCTGAGAATTCATCCATACTGATTTCTGTACGCTGCAGACAAAGAAATGCATCGTCTTGGCACCTTACAACTACCATTTTTTACCTCATGTAATACGTTAGTATCCTATTGTTTTAAAAAAAGTTTCTTTAACTGTTTGCTGAGCCCTTCTCAGCAAACGCAAAACCTCAGGCAATGATTTTTTTTGTTTTTTTTTTTCTCTCCCAAGCGCGGCCTCTCACGTTGGGGCTCCGTAAGGTCTCTGCCCCGACGACAGGGCGAGCCGAGCTCTCCCCGGCCACCTCGCCCGGGCCGTGCCCCTGCCGACCGGCGGGGTGGCTGCCACAGGGCCGCGACACCGCTGGGGCAGCTGCAGGGGCAGAACGGCCCGGGTGTCCGCGGGGCCCGGCGGGCCTGCGTGCTCCCGGGGCTGCGCGGGGACGCTCCGGCCGGGGCCG